TATAATATTTATAATATTTATATTTTATATTTATATTTATATTTATATTTATATTTTATATTTATATTTATATTTATATTTTATTTATATTTATATTTATATTTATATTTATATTTATATTTATATTTATATTTATATTTATATTTATATTTATATTTATATTTATATTTATATTTATATTTATATTTATATTTATATTTATATTTATATTTATATTTATATTTATATTTATATTTATATTTATATTTATATTTATATTTATATTTATATTTATATTTATATTTATATTTATATTTATATTTATATTTATATTTATATTTATATTTATTTATATTTATATTTATATTTATATTTATATTTATATTTATATTTATATTTATATTTATATTTATATTTATATTTATATTTATATTTATATTTATATTTATATTTATATTTATATTTATATTTATATTTATATTTATATTTATATTTATATTTATATTTATATTTATATTTATATTTATATTTATATTTATATTTATATTTATATTTATATTTATATTTATATTTATATTTATATTTATATTTATATTTATATTTATATTTATATTTATATTATATTTATATTTATATTTATATTTATATTTATATTTATATTTATATTTATATTTATATTTATATTTATATTATATTTATATTTATATTTATATTTATATTTATATTTATATTTATATTTATATTTATATTTATATTTATATTTATATTTATATTTATATTTATATTTATATAAAATTACTAGCTGTATGTCATTTCTTTGCTATGATGTAAAATAAATTGAAAGTAGCACTCTGAAGAAATAAGAAAAAACAGACAAAGTAGGCCGACAAAACAAAAAATTGTATCAATCTTAAAAAAAAATATACACGCACTACAACCAAAAACGATGAACGTAACACAATCTGGTTTGTAATTCTTGTAAAAAAAATTCTTACATAACGATTCCTGGGAAATTATTTAAGACAAGTGAAATAGCGGAAATAATCACTCTCTTAACATAAATATGTATCTACACATTTAATTATATAAAATGTCAAAACAAATAAATAATTACTTTAGAATATAATGAAATTGTTTAATACTATTCGTGTTTTACAAAATGTTTTTGTCTGTAATCAGAATTTAATTTATCGTTGTCATAAATGCTAAAGTATTACAGCATAATGAAAGTTTTAAAAATCAGAGTCGGCATAAAACCACTCTTTTCGATATAATAGAAAAACATTCGGTATAACAGTATAACAGCTTACATTTAACTATATAACGGTCTTTTAGTTCAGATCGTTTATTTTTAACTAGGCTTGTAGCCCAGCTTCGCTTAGGCTTTCAAAAACATAGAGAATTTGAATGCTTAATTAATTCGCCCGAGGGTCGGTCTACGACCTCAGGAGTTATGAAGAGGTTCCTACGTGGACAAATTTGTTTCAATTTATAGCTCATATAAGGCGCCGGTCAGTCGAGGTCTGTTTTGACCCCCTCATCGTAGACCCTTAGACCAACCGGCACCAGCCCCCGTATTCTGTCGCCCCAAGGCAAGATCCTGCCAAATTTGAAGCGCCTGCGGCGCCGGGAAGGGCACCCGACAACTTTGCTTCATATATTATAGAGATTAGCAAATTGCATAGATAAACAAAGATTTCTAAAGTAGTTCCTTTCTTTATAGTCTAAAATAGGAGAATTCACATATAAAAAAAAAATTAGGTTTGACTTGGTTTGTCTCGATCCGGCACCACCTGTGGAGTATCAAGAACACTATCATCTCAGATTTAGGTACGTTTAAAAGATGGAGAATAAAAGAAGTGTTTAAAAAAAATAACTTACGTGAATATGCCTATTTTTTCAAATTAATTTTTTACCCAAAATTAGCCAGTTTCATTGCTAATCAAACAAAGATTTCTATAAAATATTTAAGTCCTGAAAAAAGTTTATTATAGAAATTTATTTTTGGAATAGATTCTACAGTAGATAGAGTCTAAATCTAGATCTAGAATAGATCTTAGCGACGTAGCGTAGATTTAGATCTAGTCTAGATCTAGAATCTCTTGATCTAGAATCCAAATAGGCCCTAGATAAAACAATTTTTTTAAGTTTAGGCCGAGAAAATCGTATTGTATAGTCTACATTTCATAGCGTACATAGCTCTAAATCATATTTGAATGAAATAGTTCATTTTTTAAAATTCTAAACTCGGAAGATGACGTCATCAGTTTCGTGTTCTTTTTTTTAGTGTAAACAATAAGCGACGTCATTGTTAAATGCGTTCTTGTCCCAATATTAAATACTTTCCGGTTGCATAAATAATACTGTTTCTCTACATTCAAATACGCCTTTATTTTTTATTTTTCTTCTTTAAATAACATTGTGGTTTTACATTTAAAACATCTAACATAATATTTTCAACAAAAGTCCGTATAAAGTTCTTCATATATCGCTGCCGATTCTGATGTGATGTCCGGCGAAAATATTTTGCGGACAGACAGAGAGAGAGAGAGAGAGAGAGAGAGGAGAGAGAGAGAGAGAGACAGACAGACAGAGAAGAGCGCATATGGGCTATTATATATTATATATACTGCTTCATTGTGTTCTTTCATTTTTTAACATAGTGATAGGTATAGGTTACATCACTGTATTGATCACACACCTTTTTACTGGTAATTGCAAAAACAATATTCACAGAGTTTTACGTTTAAAAAGCTAATTTTCTGGCGGCATGGTACTTTGGTACATCATTACGCGTTTTTCTACATGTACTTAACAGATCAGATCGGGGTGGGTTGGGAGGGGGGGGGGGGGGTTCAACTTCATTCGCCACTGTCCGGTCACTTTAGGTCAATCATCCAACCCGGTATATACCTAGGTGTAACATTAATGTCGCTCTACATAATTGTGGTGGTGATGTGGGGGGGGGGGGGGAATAACCAACTCAGCGTGAACATAGCGTCAGTTTTTAGATGACTGTTCTAAACATACATATATATTACATAAATTTATATTACACAAATATATATTACAGAAATAGATTTAAATAAGTAGAAGTGGTATTATGACAAAATTTATTTTTTACCGAGGGGTCCATGGAGGAGGGTTGTAACTGTTTTATATAATTTGTAATCGTAATCGCTATCGCCCAAACTGTAAGAATACTACTACTTCATCATGATGACGTTGTTGACCTTGTCAAAATTTCCCCACCACTACGCAGTTTGCTCATAAGTAAATTTAAATAGAGGTGCCACATCAGTTGTCTTTGTTTCTGTATTGTAATTGTATTGTGATTTTTTTTTAAATTAATCACACGATTCAAACTGTATATATATATATATATATATATATATATATATATATATATATATATATATATATATATATATATATATATATATATAAAGTAATTATGTGTGAAGTTTAATGTATAACATTTTCTAATTCAAATATTCGTAAGCAAATACAGTTGCCTTAAACTTAACACCCTTCTTGCCTATCGTAGAGGTTTTTTAAACATTGCAATGCATCGTGATGGTTATTTTTAGAATGGCAAACCGATGCAGCTGTTACTACGTGTTGTAAACGTAGACACTACTAGACTAGTACAATAATGCTTAATTGCTGCATGAAAAGAAATCTTGTGATTTACATAGATGTGTCGACCAAAAATATTTTTTGCAAATATCATTGTTTAAAACTTTGAGTTTAAAAAGTTTCCAAAAAGGCGCCACTTTGCTGAAAATGGCCAGAGTGGGGGGGGGGCGGCCGCTCCCCCCTGCTCCCCCGCTGCATACACTACTGATATATATATATATATATATATATATATATATATATATATATATATATATATATATATATATATATATACATATAAACAGAAAGCAATGCTTAAGCAATATAGAAGACAATATCTTATTATTTTATTATATGTACATTCTAGCAATCTAGTCCTACACTTCAGGTTGGGTAAATATTACATTAAGTTTTTTATCTCAACGTTACAAATCGTGTATTTTTAGGCATATTATCATGTTATTAAAATTATTTAATTTAAATGTACATCCGGAAAAATAGGTTTGGATCTTAGTTGTAGGGGCGAGGGCTTCTCCACACTACTCAAGTGTGCTATTTATTTTCATGTTAGTAATAGACAAGTTCTATACTATCTTTCTGTTTAGTGAAGTAGACTGTATTTTTTATTATGATTATTATTGTCAAAATGCCAATATTGAAGTAGGCTACATTTTAGACCTTGTACGCCTACTCCCTAACACTTTTTTTAGTCGCCTAACCAACTACGTCGAGAATGAATGAAAGAGAAGTGAATTAACCTCACAAATTGTATTTATTTCTTTGATCAACGCAAATAAAAAATTATTAGGTTTTGAATAATTTATTGATGTTATTTAGAACAAATGCAACATGACGCAATAGGGCTGGTAAGTAGGGCACGAACCAGTTCTATGGCTCATGCAGGTTTTATTGAGCCGTAGAACTGGTTGTGACCTAATTACCAGCCCTATATCATATAGGTTAACTATTGTAAATCAATCTGTTTACCTGTTGTTCTTCTTGAATAGCTGTGTCTAGTGAGCCTGTAATACACATACATTATAATATTAATACAATGCTGTAAATAATATGATGTAGCGTTATAAATATTCACTATAATGATTAATTCCAGAGGGTATCAAAAGTAAAAGTTACATTTTAAACACATTTTTTATGCCAAAGAACGTGTCCGCCTACCTTTGATCTCTTCCATTTCACTAGCCACATGAGACAGTTTGACATCTCTGTCACGGAGAACTTCCAACAAACGTGGGTACCAGCCCTCGTACAGCGTCAGTCTCTCAAACAGTAGCACACTGCCTTCTATCTCACCTTTAGTGTTAGTTGTTGCCTTGATCTCTGACTAAAGAGAGAGTAAACAGTTTTAGAATGAGGATGTGTACGTTAATTAAAGACTACCGATGTAAAAGATTAATCAAAATTAGTTTTTAACTGACATACACACAAGGTCCAACTTCCAAATATGTTGCAGTAGAAGTTGGTAATAGTACATTTACTTCTATATTTTTTACGCTCACCCACCGATGCCTGACCCGGTAGTTGGAATTTCTAATCGGGATAGATCTAGTATTTGACCTATCCAAGAGTCTTAAAGGGGCATGTGACACATCCATCGCGGAATCCATAAGAGGAAGATTAAAAGGTAATTATATCTGTCTTCAGTCGTACTACATGCAGAGTAGCTCCCATCTCCCCTAATCTTCAACAGGTTACCGTCGATTCCCGATTGGCACATATTTTTGTAATATGTTCTACTGTGTAAACATTTATATTTTATGAACAGTGTTATTACGCTTTTTAAATTATAATTAATTTTGTTTTTAATTAGTAATAAATTTTATTATTGTTTACATTAACTTGACACGAAGTTATAAAACCTGGTTATTATATACATTTGGCGGGCCCGAAGCTTATCAGAGTCAACACTAGATATCATTGTGCCTGGTATCTATTGCTATTTTGAAATCTGTAAGCTGCAGTGGCGTGGGCAGGAAGGGGGGGGGGTTAGGGGGGTTATAACCCCCCCCCCCCCCATAGACCCCTCGGTATATAGAAAAAGTATAAGGGGGGGGGGGGGTGCAAATCGAAAGTTTGGGGGGGGGTGGAAATCGAAAGTTTGAGGGGGGGGGTGCAAATCGAAAATTTGGGCGGTGGTGGAAATCGAAAGTTTGAGGGGGGGGGGGGGTGGAAATCGAAAGTTTGTCCCCGGGTAAAAATTGGAACCCCTACCCCCCCTTGAGACGATCCTGGCTACGCCACTGGTAAGCTGCACACATCCATTTGTCACGTTATCATCGGTCCTTCATTATATTACAAAATAGACTTCTTATTACAACTACTACATAACAATTTTTGCTGTGACAGTATTATTCATATAGTAATCAAGTTCGTGCATTAGTTCTCTTGGCAGTGGAAGAAATTACTCTACCTTAATTAAAGCACAATTTAGCTGCCCATAAGGTAGCTTCGCGTGACAGTAGAGTATATAACATTATTTAAAATATCTTTTAAAGTTTTTCCTGCCCGTGACATTTAGGCGCTGGATCATGATTTCTAAACGGAGTAATTTAAATGTAAAGCAGGCGTTACATTTCTTGGATCACAGTTGTGTTGGCGATAGTTTGTTTGCACTAACTCCCAGACGCAACAGGACTTGATGTTTAGAGCTTTGATTGCACGTAAAATCAACCTCCCTAATAGAGAGGAAGAAAGTTCCATGTCGACCACTCAGGTGTCTGAGGCGTCACGGGACCCTCTCGCCAGCCGCTAGTTACACTACCTAAGTGGTACCGGGTATAGCTACAGGTTTGGTTCGTTAAATGCCGTGTGTCCCCGAATCCATAATGTAGGGTGCTATTTTTAACAAAAGTAGGTGACGTAGTGGTTACAGGATAGCAAGAAACGAGAAATCCCGTCCCTATCGGGGCGCGGCGGACTCGACTAATTCAATTTTGTAAACGTTTATAGTAGCCTACCGTATCAATAGTGTACCAACTTTTTAAAACAAACTAAGATCGGCGCTTTGCAGAAGCTAAATAAACGTATTATTTAGTGAAGGCATAGTTCTGGGGGCGGAGACGACACCTAGAAAAAAATCCGGATTCTCAATAATGTAAAATTAAGGGTTTAAAAGTTGAACTGTTTTACTTTCTAAAGGGACGTAACTGCGTTAAGAAGTTAAACGTGAAAGTTTCCTCGCTCTATGAATACAAGCAAAGGTAAACGGAGAAAAAAAATGGAAAATTGAATAATTTCTTGAAAGTTTAAATTCATTTCAAACATATATGAAATTTAAATGATGACTTATCAATATAGTGGCACCTCGAGAAACGAGTTTATATTGTTAAGCTACAGTTCTCTAATGTCAAATAGCTTGTATGTTTCCATTTAAATTCATTTAAATGACTTTAATCCGTTCAAGCCCCCAAAGTGACAACGCTATAATTTATCCCTAACGTGGACGGAACTTAAACATATATAATTTAACCTAAATGCTAGTATATATATATATATATATATATATATATATATATATATATATATATATATATAATATATATATATTATATATATATATATATATTACACATTGGTGCTAAAAATAGTACCTTCATGCCGTTAGTATTTTAATGCTTCATAAGTTGTACTATTTGGTCCCCTTTGCGGGAACTTAGTACCATTTGTAATTTTTTTGTCTTAATTAATGTCCTATTTTAAAAAAAAATAATCATTTAAATCATTTTCTTCAGGTGTAAAAACTTTTATGTCTTGTAGATTTTTTAAATGTATTCTTATGCTTAGGAAGTGCGAATCACTTATTTTCCCCTATATATATATATATATATATATATATATATATATATATATATATATTTTATATATATATATATATATATATATATATATATATATATATATATATATATATATATAATACATAATTATACACAAATTAATTAATTAATTAATTGTGTAAAGATTTAAACTATCATTTTAACCTAATAATTCTATTTACCAGATCAGTTTCAGTCAACATTTCACTTTCTTGAAGTAGATGAATAACATTTGATGGTTTGACAAATTTTCTAAACAGCTTTAGAAAAAGAGGCTTGAGCCGTTCAAAATATTCTGGATCTAAAGTCGGCTCATCCATTTTGTGACGTGGTCAACTGTATACCTTATTGCCACCAATTATGCTAAGCTATCCATAGAAGACCTATAATTTGCTCTATAACTCTGGAAAATGAACAATTTAAATTAATATAAGTGCATATACTATAAAATGTAAGTTTTTACAAAACAATGTGCTGCTCTAATACCAACCATGTGCCTACATTCTAAATCATCAAACCATTGCATGTAAATAATAAACAACCACTTTTGTGAATGTAGCAGCATACTTTAAACGAAAAAAAATTCCTAAAAAATAAGCTGGCTTCAAAAAATAAAAGCTGTATTAAATCAGCCCCAACGTTTTTCCACGCGTTTTATCGCACAACAAAAATGCAATGTTTTAAAATCCGTTTATTGTAAACTAAAGTACTTGTCCCTCGGATTCAGATCAAAGGCTAACGCAATGTTTATTAAGGATTTCATTAATGCGTTTTTAATCGTGTTTTTTTAAACGCAAGCGTCGCGGAGTTTTCTAGTAAGCCACCGCTTAAACTACTACAAGTGAGCCGGGTACAGTCTTAAATTCGGTTTACTCATTGAATATCGTGTGCCAAAGTGTCTCTTTTCCAGGGTGCTGTTTAAATATGGAGCTTAAGTGCTGCAGGTCACTAAACACCTGTCTCCGGTCGACGCTCTCAGTTCGATTTAGTCAACGATTCTACCCATAATGTACCACACTCTTAAAAGCAAACGTAAACGCCATAATGCTTTTGGTGAATCCAAATTGTTTTTCGCAGAAACCTTCATTGGAAAATATTTATCAACCTCTCAAAGTTTAATAGTTATCGGAGGAAAGATATAGTAATGAATGAAATACAGACACACCCATAGACACATATACTTTAATTTGTTTATGCGGTAAATGGAAAACAATCGTACCTTGCCGGAGTGACGCCGCTAGAAAATCATTACTTTCCCAAAATCTCATGGCAATCTGTGTTTTTTCCAGATTTTATTCTCCCCGGGGGCGGGGTGGGGGGTGAGGGTGGACAATGCTAAAAGTAAATATTCCTTTATAAATCCTATTTCGTTCGTGGTGTGGTAGACATTTTTCGATGGGTTGGGGAGGATTTGGCGTCCCCCCGAAGAGATGACTGGAAGAAATATTCTGCATGCCATCAGCATTTCATCTCTCTCTCTCTCTCTCTCGCTCTTTCTCTCTCTCTCTCTCTCATTATCTCTGTAATTGGCTAATTTCGTCTGCCAACATTTAAAATTCAAGTTTTAAATTTTAAAATGTTTTGTTACTAGCTATTTTAGAACTTTAAACGTATATTTATGGAAAACAATCTGAGGGTTGGAAGCAGTAGTCGTTAACGAAATATAAATGTTGACAAAGAGTAATATTTCATCGTCCGGGTTAGACCTAGATTCAGGATGTAGTCTTCAAAAATATAGAGTTGATTAACCAAACGATTAGATCTTACTATTGCCAGTTCCAACAATTCTAAATATTTACACACCATATATGGACTCACTGAGCCAACTATTTATATCATCTAAAAATCTACCAAAACATAAAGAAATAACAGGCATTTCAACTAGTCTAATTTATTTCTAGAGCTCTTACCTGAGGCTACTCGAATAAAATAATGTGTGATGTGTGACTGTAACATTGAGCGCAACTGCGTGTCGAAGATAGGTTATCTTAAAAGGCTTTCAAATCAAAGAAAGATATGTATCTATATATTTGAAAATGTAGAATAAATATAGCCTATATGATTGATTAAGCTACACAATTAATTTATGAAAAAACTGTTGTGTGGCTATTGCTATCTACAACTTTTTAATGTGGTTATTATAACTCTAATTTAGATAATATATTTGTGTATGATAGAAGTGATTTTTTATGTTGTTGTGTTTTAATTCAAAGTGATACAATTAGAATTCATATTAATTCTAATGTTTGTCTATTAAACATACACGTTACTTAACTGTAAACAAGAAAAACAGCCAGAGGGCGTTTAGTACTATTACAATAATTTATTTACTTATATACTATGATAATAATTATAATAATTTAAAAAAAAAATAGTCATTAAGTGTTGCTACATTGTTCTATTAAGCTTGTGTAACTATAATTCATTTCGTCTAGGTTTGGTATAGTGTTATTACTTGCAAAAGTAGGTGTTAGGATGAAATTATTATTAACACATAATAATATATAGTATTATTATAAAATTATATTCTGCGACAGCTTTTCATTATTTGTTACATTAAACTGTTCAATAAATAGGTTAATCCTAAATGAAAATATAGCCTACATACTTGATTCATATCAATGGCCAATTTTATTCTAAACATAGCTACACTAGATACACCACTACAGACCTTGATTCATCCTAACCTTAGTTAGACTATTTGATTAATGTTTAAATTTCACTTACCAGTAGTACCTTCAGTAATTTAACACGTATTAGGTTTTAATGAACTCATATTGGGAATTCCCGAACAATATGGCGGACTGGGAAACCCAGTCTATATTTATCACTGGAGTTTTCTTTATCTTTAGTTCTCCCCATAGTTTGAGTAAGTCAAAATATCCCTAGGGTTTCATCCCTAAACGATGTCAATTTGTTTTGACGATTTTTCCTCTATCATCGTCACGGCTCGGCATACCCCCCCCCCTTCTTTAAAAAAAATGGCATTTTCTTAATGTACCAGAGACACTGTACTTAGTCCCAGTGGCGTAGGCAGGGGTGGTTATGGGGGGTATAACCCCCCCCCCCCATAGACCCCTCGGTACATATATATAAAGTATGAGGGGGTGCAAATCGAAAGTTTGAGGGGGGTGCAAATCGAAAGTTTTGAAGGGGGGGGGTGCAAAGCGAAAGTTTGAGAGGGGCGGGGGGTGTAAATCGAAAGGTTGAGGGGGGGGGGGGGTGCAAATCGAAAGTTTGAGGGGGATGCAAATCGAAAGTTTGAGGTGGGGGGGGGGCTGAAAATCGAAAGTTTGACCCCGGGTAAAAATTGGATTCAAGATACTATACTAAAGCATTATTCATAATTATAGGACCATTCGTCCCTGATATTTGAGGTAGGAATATAACTGTTTTGGTTTCAAGCTGGTCTTTGTATTTTAGCGAGAAATAGAGCTGAAGATAGTATAGAACTATCATTTGATGTCCATTCAATTGTAAAGTTTTTGTCAGATTTCTGCAATTGTGTATTGTTTAAACTCCGAAATGAACCAATTGTATTGTGATTAACGAGCGCTCGGCTTAAGTAATCAGTGTCTGGGAAGGAAATGATGGCTGATGATATTTACTCAAGAGAATATTCACCTCATTGATATTTTTTTAAAAAAATGTGATTCAAACATTTACCTTTTCAGGACCATAAGGGTTTTACGCACAATTTTAAATACACGTGTGCATGCATTTAGCAGTACAATGACATGTATTTTTTTAAAGATGACAGTTTGTCGATACCTGTAATAGTTTTCGATATCATATCAATTAATATTTTTTATTTTAAGAGTGATCAAACGTTATGGGTTGTTCTGGAACATTAAACAATAAAAAATATCAATGGAGAGAATACATTTATTCCCTTTATGAACGCATTGTCTAGAACAGGGGTTCCCAACCCCGTGCCCGCGGGCGCAATGGCGCCCGCCGAACGACTCGTATGTGCCCGCCTCTCACTATTCGACAGAGACAGAATTTTTTTCATAAACATTATTGAAAGGTTGAAGGGGATGGAAATCGAAAGTTTAAGGGGGGGTGCAAATCGAAAGTTTTGTCCCTGGGTGACGGGAAAGGTCGCTACGCCTCTGGAAGGAGTTTGTCGATTTAAAATAGGTGGTGCCCGCCACCCTACCGATATTTTAGAATGTGCTCTAGAGTAAAAAAAGGTTGGGAACCCCTGGTCTAGAACGTCCTTAACTTAGATAGCAATTGTTCTAGTGAAGTTTTTCACAGGGCTGCACGTATTTCTATGGTATGGTGGAAACGTAAAAAAAAATACAAGTATCTTTGTAAGGCAGACATATCTACTTGATATTTGTTGTAATGCATGTTTGACTAGGCAATTGATGCGCATGATTGATGGCGTGGCCGTATATTGAACGAGTGAATGTGTGACGCAGTACGCAAGAAAGTGACGTTTTGGGTGTGAGTTCGTTGTTGCCGGGGAAGAGGTTAGATAGGAGTCTTGTTCTTGTAGTCTTGGAGTGATGCCGTTATGTAATCCAGTAATACGATCTTATTGTACAAGTCGTTGTATGTATTTGCATTGTGGCATTAACAGTAGAGGTATATAGCGTCTTATAAGAAGTCATTTGGATAGTTTGATCTCGTCTCATTTCAGAATGAACTGTAATTGGCTAGACAGAGTATAATAGACGTGCTAGAACCTCTCAAATAGCGAACCTTAACAATATTAATATCTTAAGTAACATTTTTTAAGTGAATGTTTCTGAAACTATTTCTCTGTCATAAACAAATTACTTATTCCGTTGTTTAGTGCATTATTACAAAATGTGTTTACTTTCTACTGCAGGTATAACATTGAATGTTATGCTCATTGGTAGAAGTTACGGAAAATCTTCCTGTAAAAATACTTTGATGGCAGGAGTTGTACCATCTCATCGCAAGGATTCTATTCTTGGATATGAGCTTAAGAACAGAGATTTTATTAATGTATTTGAGGCTCCATCTGTTGAAAACATTTGTATTTTTTGAAGAAATGATCAGATTTCGTAATTATACAAAAGAAGTTATGAATAGAATTGATGTATGCATTAATGCTTTCTTAATTGTGCTAAGATATGGTTTCAGATACACCAAGCAGGATCATGACTTACTTACACATTTAAATGAATATTTTGGACATGATTTCTTAAGAAAATATTGTTTTGTTTTGTTTAAACACGGTGATATTTTCAGTGATGATTATAATTTGTTTACATTCAAAGAAGGGTGTGCTTGGCAAGATGGCTACCTCGAACTTTTGTATAAGGCTTGCAACAAACGGTTTATGTTGATGTGTAATAAAGGTGACGACAATACAAAACAGCAATGTAGTAATAACGTGTTGGCATTGGTGAATCAATTAAGTTTAAAACAAGAACCGTACACGTTGGAAAAATTTTAGAAACAACAAACCAGTTCGTGAAAGGTTGTTATTTTCCCTACCATCAACGGCTAAAGTACAAGTCATTGCAGTTATTTTTGCAGGCTTTGTCAAGAAGTAGAAGACATGTTAGAGGCTGATAAAATAGACATCGCTGATAGACTACAACACAGAGCTCGCTATCTGAGGGAAAGGTTAACTGACAAAATATCTGAGTTCAAGAAGGCTTTTGAAAAAACGCAGGCCGAGATGGAGAAAAACATGACCGATCCATATAACGTTGATTATAGTCTTCATGTTGTGGGGGATAAAATCAGCCGCTGTCAGTTAAATAAAATGTCATTTATATTTGCAAAAAATATTGTAACAGCATTTCGTAAAGAATTTGAAATCTAAAAGAATACTTTAAAGAATAATAATCTCAATTATTTTTGTTATTGTATAATAAAACTTTAGTCAGTAGACCTGTACAATTTTGATACATAATGTAAAAAATGAAAATTAGTTTAATGAAAATTAGCTATGTTGTTTAGGTAAGATGAAATAGATTTTTTATTTTCAACATGTGTAAAATTATTTTCAGCATGCGCCAACCTACAGTGTAACATTATTATTTTCAACATTTATCGACTTTCAGTGTAACTTAATTATTTTCAAAATAATTAACATTACTTTTGTAACATTACTTTTGTTTTCACAATATGTCAACCTTCAGTGTAACATTATTATTTCTAATATGTGTCCGCCTACCATGTGACATCAATAATTGACGTTCCTGTGTACGTTAGACATTAAAACTGAACATGTTATGCGATTTATTTCGCATATACAACAACGATGTGTGCTAACATGGTCAATTTTTCAGCGTTTAAATAAATGTTTAGGTTATCATCACATTTATATATTTTTACTTGTCGAGATTTTATTGTTTAACTATTGAAATGAAATGTTTTTGTTTATTTACTTATCCCAAACCCCACTCATCATAATTAAAATGATGTAATGTTCGTTAAAAATAAAAAATAAAGGAAAAATGTATCAATTGTGGTTTTCCTTGTCAAATTGAATTAATAATGTTTATACTATCTTTGATAACTATTAATATTGATATTCTAGTTTAAACCAAAGATAAACTATATCTTTTACATCGAAAATACACATTAATGCAAAATATTGAATTTTTCACACACCCCCACCCCAAATCAATGTGGATGACCACAAAAGATTAGTAAAACTCTCATAACTTATTGCAAATGTGTTAATTTTACAACGTGTAACGGGTATGTTGCAATTCAATTAGTAAGACAAAATTTAAAATGACTACGTATACATATGGCCTTATAGATAACAGCTTGATATACTTTAAAAGTTGTTGCCATGTCAAACGAAAACTGCAAGGTATTAAACATTCATTTTTTGAATGGAAAGAAATGTGTTAATACTATATCATCTGCGCTCGTAAGACGCCTTATAATATTAGCAATCGAAACATTTATAAGTCGTAGCCTCCTCGGGTTTATGACATCCATATCTGTGTACTTTATTTCTCGCTCACCAAAAAATTATTCATTGCATAAGGTTCAGGGTTTCTGAAATGTCTAGAAAAACCATAGAGAAGTATATTTTAGACATTCAAAAGTGGAAAATAATTATAACTGCGTACGTCTCGATTTTACTTAGTATTTTACATAAAGCTTGTCATACAAAAAACAAAATCATTAAATATGTTTTTTTTTGAAGAGGGAAAGGTGGGCTTCAGGCTAGTACTCGTAAGGATGTTGCCGTGTAATGTGCAGTAAACAGTGACGCTTTTGGTTGAGGGTAAAATTCAGTTAATTAACGTGACGTTATTTATCAACTTCGCTAGGCTGTAAAATATACATGGCTTATGGGCCTAAAAATAAAGGATTAATTCTAGCAGAGATGCAACAAATGTTTTTGTTTAAATTCGTGCTTCTCTAGTTCAAACCAGCTCTTTCCCCCTCCTTCACGTGGTCACGCTGACCGTGGGACCCGCGACAGATGACTAAGCCAGCACAGTCTGCATGCTCTGTTATTTAAATATTTAATTTTAATCTGGTTATTTTGAGCTCATTACTTCAACAAAAAGACATGTTCTACATCGTCTTATGCTTTAATTCGACTTGATGATTTCGCTTACTGTGATTTGGTTACACAATGTATTATTGTCTAGGTCTAGATGCTTTTAAACTATGTTTCAATTGTTTCAAATGTTTCAAAATAAATTTGAATCGCCGTGAATTGTTTAAGAAAATTGCCGCAGCCTATGCCTCCCCCCCCCCCTTACCGCTTGTGATTAAAAATTAGGCGACAACAGTTACATTTCTGACACGTTTTTTCACCGGTTTAACTGGGTCATATTTTACAGGAGA